ATTGCTAACTAAGGCTTGTATCCCCCTAGTGGTCAAAATAGATGAGCACATGTCCAGACTGCAGACCAGAACACAGCGTGGCACAGCTATATCCAATTCTGCATACCTGGCTTTATATTATAAAAAAATTTAATAATAATATAAGCCAGTTATACAGAATTGGATATAGCTGTGCCACAATATACAGTGTTGTGGAGTCTGGACATGTGCTCATCTATTGTCCCCACTAGGGGGATACAAGCCTTAGTTAGCAATCGCATGATCTAAATATTAATTTCATTATTCAATGTCTTTTTTTTAATATTATAAATTGTATAATATAAAAAAAGACATTGAATAATGAAATGAACAGAATATTTAGATCATGCCATTGCTAACTAAGGCTTGTATCCCCATAGTGGGGAAAATAGATGAGCACATGTCCAGACTTCAGGCCAGAACACAGTGTAGTGTGGCACAGCTATATCCAATTCTGCATAACTGGCTTTATATTATAAAGTTCTTATAATATAAAGCCAGGTATGCAGAATTGGATATAGCTGTGCCACACTACACTGTGTTCTGGCCTGAAGTCTGGACATGTGCTCATCTATTTTCCCCACTATGGGGATACAAGCCTTAGTTAGCAATGGCATGATAAATATTCATTTCATGTTCATGTTCTTCATAATATTAAGAAACTGACCTAAAATCATGATTTTGTATTGCTTTAGAAAAAATGTGACCTGTCCCTTTAAGAAAAGTATCGGTAATTGGTATCGGTGAGTACTTGAAAAAGTATCGGTGCTCGTACTCGGTCTTAAAAAAGTGGTATCGGAGCATCCCTATTCATAATGCACACTCCTCACCTGGCAAAGCTGCCAGGGTTTGAAAACTATTATGTTTCCTGTGAATGCCTGTCAAGATAGGGTGTTTTAGATCAGGCAGCATTTTTATCTAATAAATATGGAATGGAAATAACAGGAATGGAACTAACTTCTTACATTTCTTTTTATAATTATTGGATGGATAATTTGTATTTTTAAATATCATACTATTGTATTTTGTGACATGTTAGGAATTTATCTATGTAGATTTTTTCAGATTACTGAAAGGCCCTTTGTCTTCCAAGAAAGCTTCCTGTTCTCTGATCCTGTTCTCTGATTATAGCAAATAGAGGTAGCCCTTGCTACCTCTATTTGCTATAGAGGTTTGCTCATTAGATGAAACTTTAGTCTGGCTTCTACCCACTAGCAGATTATTTTGTTAAGGTAATTCTTTCATGCTGTTGTACAGTCATTTAATTTTTTTTATTCTAAATCCATTAATTTAAAAGCACACAGAGTGATTTTAGAACACTTGTTACATCAAATTGTTAGTCTATATTAAAGGCCTTTTAAGTTCCCTGTTTATGATAATTATTTTCCTAAATTCAAAAAAAGGAAGTCAGACAGAATATATTTTTTATTCCATCACAATAATAGTTGTTTTTTTTACATGTACACAGATGTTATTGTGTTTTAAATGTATCTCTTTTTTATCAACAAGATTTAAAAACAATGTAGTGTAGCAAGAGTGTAGGTTTACTCTGTGTATGCTAGATAAGATATACATATCCCCCAATCATCCCCGATTCCACAAGACAGCTCTGGGATTTCAACACCATCCCTGCGTCCCACATAGAATAAAGTTACTAGAAGTCTATTTTTTAACAGTTGTGCTGTAAAAGGCCAATAAGATGTTACTAGCATGTTTCTGATTTCAAGAACAAACACCACCCCTTGCCTGCTCTGTTAATACCTGTTGTTCATACCCTGCTTGTCACCTGTTTGGACTGAGCTGCCAACTATCTGCAAGGCCACTGTTTTGTCGAGAACACCGACCCCATCAGATTTGCCGACCTCAGCATCTGCGCATGCACACAGACCGGGATTGATGAGGAAACAGGCATTTATTCACAAAGTATTGTGTCCTAATAGTTAATTGTGACCGTTACTAATATGCCATCTATTGCAATAAATGATAGAAGGCATTTTATACACATTTACAATTCATATTGTAAGCAAAAGCAATTAGATAATGTAATTGCTTAAGATGTTAATTGTGATGGTGAATAGATTCCATTAATCAATAATTAATGGGAAACCTCACGCCACTACTCCAATCTAGTCATGCAGCAGCTGAAATCTGTATGATCAGATATAATATAGAATTGATAATAAAAGCTGCGCTAAGTTAATTAATCTACAAAGTATCTGATACAATTGATACTAGCCGTGAAAAAATGTGATACAATGTAAAAACAACAACAATACACTAAATGCATGTGTGTATCATGCACATCAGTTCAAATAATATATTGCCAGAAAAATGTCCATAATCATGAATCTGAAACAGTCCGTTATGAAATAGAAGATATAGAAGTGGCAGTCTCCTGTGACCATCACCAGAGAAATCTTATGGAATGCACCTCACCTTTAGCAGAGACTTACCAGGGTCTGTATGGGCTGTTCCTCTGATTAGAACCAGGTAGAGAAAGCACCTGTGCTCATGCGCAGATGCTGAGGTCAGCAAATCTAACGGAGTCGGCGTTCTCGACAGAACACCACCACTGCACTGCATGTTTTCAGGCTTTTAATGGGTCTCTGAGGCTAGGCTGCTTAGCACTGGAAAAAGTAAGGCAGTATAGCCTTGGAGCTGCCTAATGGCTCAGTGAAAACAGTTTGACCTAGACATGTGCACCGGCAAAAAATTAGTTTAGTTTCCTTTTGATTCGGATTTTGCGTTATTTAGTTTTTAGGGATTCGAGTACCAAAGTCAATTTGTTTCAGGATTCGGACGAAATTCGGTAGTTTGTACGAATTTTCGTTTGTGGACGAATTTTCGTTGCAGCAAAGTGACATTAAAAAAAAATCCTTTAGTTAAAAAAAACTGGTCAATTTTTTACTATTCCTTTAATTTAAAAAAAATCATTGATGTAATCCAGCGTCAATCATGTTGCATGACGCCCGCCGACCCAACTAAATAAAAAAGTCTCGCCACACGACAACCGTTCGAACCCAGAAAGACTTGCTGCACAATGACATCTCCTGCCCGAAAGTAAACAGATGGGCGGAGTGAGCCGTGCCGTCACTTGTCATTTTGGTCTGTGAGCTGAGGTGTCATATGAATAGTATTATATGCTATGTGTTATTCAACAGCTGAGAATGTCAAATTGGCGGAGCAAGCCCCTTGACGTTATGGCTCACTCCGCCCATCTGTTTATTTTCGGGTAGGAGATGTCATTGTGCAGCGAGTTTTAGTCGGGTTCAGGCGGTCGTCGTGCGGCGGGACTTTTTTTTTTGGAGGGTCAGCGGGCGTTGTTCATTGTGATTGATGCTGGATTACATCGATGGAGACATTTTTTTTTTAATTAAAGGATTTTTTCTAAAAGTGTGGTTTGTTTATTTACATTGAATTTTAACCCTTTAGTGAATGAGTAGGGGTCATTCACATAGGGGGTGGCATCTGGGCCCCCCTTAATTAAAGGGGTACCCCGATGCAAATAAGCCCCCCTGCCCACAGACCCCCACAGCCACCGGGTCAGGGTTGTGGGGAAGAGGCCCTTGTCCTCATCGGCATGGGGTGTCAGGGGTGTACTACTGGGCCATGAGTGGAACCCCTTGGCAGGAACAAAGAGTCCAAAAACGAGGTACAGAGGGAAAATCCAAAAGCGTAGTCAGGTCCAAGTCAGGGTCGAGGCAGGCAGCGAGGTTCAGAAGCGAGAAAGGCAGGCCGAAGGGTCGATAACGGGGGTTAAGGCAAGGTTTCAGGAAGCAACAGGTTTACGCACAGGGAGCTGGTGATCACACCGGTAGAATAACTCAGCAATAAGCCAAGGCTCTGACTGGTTTAAATACACAGGGAAACCAAGGACCAGCCCTGGTTGCCGAGGCGACCAGGAAGCTTCCCTAACCAGGAGCCAATAGTAGGGCTGACTGGGGGGATGGTGTGTGCTGGGGACCTCCCCCAGCCTGGCACCTTAAAATACTAAGTGGCGCGGGCTCGTTGTGTGCGCAGCCTGTGTACCTCGCGCGTGCGCGCCCGCCAGCACATTTCTCGCATGCCCTGCACCACCGCTGGCGAGCCTGGTAAGGAGCAGCACCCCTGGTTCCCTGACATGGGGACACCCTCCCAATGCCGAGAGCACGTGACCTGATAAGGCGCAGGGAGGGGGGAGCTCAATCGCTCCCCCCCTTTCCTGCCCTGCCAGGTCTGTGCTCGGATCAAGGGTCTGGTAGGAATTTTAGGGGGGAGTGCACGTCCCCCCCATTTTTGGGGGGTGGGGCCCCCCTTAAAATCCCTAATACCTAAAGGGCCTGGTATGGATTTTGGGGGGGACCCTAAGTATTTTTTTTAACTTGGGGGTCTCTCCTAACATTCCTACCAGACCTAAAGGGTCTGGTATCAATTGGGGGGAACCACACACTTTTTTTTTCTCTTCTGCAGACTGTAAAAAAAAATATTAATATTTTTAAATGTCACTTTGCTGCAACGAAAATTCGTCCACAAATGAAAATTCGTACAGACTACCCCTAACAAATTTCGGCCGAAGTTTCATTTTCGGTAATTCGGATTCGTTTTCATTCGTCATTTCAACGAATAACATATTTTTCCGAAATGAATAGTTTGACCTGTGGGGCTTATTACAAAGCATACCATTTAAAAGGATATGTACTGGCTGCTATGAGGTCAGAATTGCTAAATATTTCTATGATTATGTCTTTTTACATGGTGGTATCAAGGGACATGGTGGTATCAAGGGACTTCACTCAGACAGAATCTAACATTTTAAGAAACATCCACAACCTCTTAAGTGCACCAGTTACAGGAGATGTGAAAGTGTATGTATAGCTAAAACTTTTTTCTTATAGTTTTGGATAGATTAGAGAATGGTCAAAAATCCTGTCAGGTTTTTTTTTGCTATCTGTGTTCTACTAGAAAGATCACTCTTTATTTCCAGGACAGTAGGACCAAAATCATCTAATAAACAATTGTAACTGTACCAAATTTCCCATTGGAAGATTTCATCTCTATTCCTGCTCTGGTGACAACTTAAAACCTTGGATTTTCATTAACTTTCTGTACCACTGTGAATGGTGGGCAAATAGAGAGTGTGAGTTTCCCCATAAGGGACACAGACAGCAATAAAACTTGGTTATACACAAACAAAACAAAAAAACTTCTGACTTTACATACACTTTAACATTAAGAATTCATGACAACATAACATACCAGGAATGGTTGTATAATATCACAGCAGTGCATTGCTTAATTATAAAGCTTTTTGGTCATCATAGCTTATTTAATAAAGCTTTTTTACAGTTTTGATTATGCAGTGATATTTATCTATCCATTTGATATTTACTTTTTTAATATGAACTTCCCCTAACCCATACATTCGATACTGTAATTGTGTAATTTTACATGAAATTTTCTTTGATTATTTATTTTATCTCTTTTTAGGACACATGGCCGGTGACCATACCCGACTAGAGCTTCATCACCTAGAAACTGGCATAATGACTGAACGTCGTTTTCTTTCAGCCCCACCTTCAAACTTCTTGGGTCATTTAACAGCCTTACGTTACAATGGAGCACCATATCTTGATTTATGTCAAGAGGGTGAATTAGGTCGACGTTGTGAACTCAATGCTCGTGCTGGTGGTCTTCGTCCACTGTTAGCTGATCCTGTAGTCTTTCGCTCGGCTCCAGCCCATCTTGCCCTTCCGCGGCTTCAGGCTTATGCTTCCATGCATCTACTCTTCATGTTCCGTACGCGACATACTGATGGGCTCTTGCTTTACAATGGTGGCCAGGGGCCTGATTTCATTGCTGTAGAACTTGTTAAGGGGTGAGTAATTTCATACATTATCCAGAAACACAGTATTTTACCATAATTAAGTTCTTTCAGTACATTTGGTGCTCTAGGTATCCAGGATTCTCCCTTAAAGCTTTTTAATTAAAACTTTAATGGGTTTGAGCCTATTTGTAGTTTGTTTTTATGCACATTTGTTTTAAAGTGTATTTCCACTTTTGCAGTTAAAATTGAGAAAACCACACTATATGTTTATGTGTTACTCTTTATATAGCATACCTAAAAGTGATTTTCTAAAGAATATATATATTTTTTACCTTTCTATATGTTTCTTTTGAGAAGGCATTTTGGCAAACTCCAAGCTGCTCTGAACAATTTTAAAGTGAAAGTGGAAAGGCTGGAGTGGGAACAGATTTTTTATCTCCTTTATCAGAACAGAATGTTCAAATTTAGTTTGCAACTGATAATAAGATCTGCCAGAACAGTACAGTCAGGGTTAACTATGGTAAACATTAACTCCCCACCCCGTCTCATTAATATTACATGGCAGGGAACACATTCAGTTTTGGCATTTTCAGAAAAGATATAGGAAAAATAAATCTGCGCTCCTGGATATGGCTAAATTGTACTTGTATCAAAAAGCAGCTATGAAAATAAAGGAGGTGAACCGCCTTTAGATAGATAGAGTACTTGGAACACAGCGCTAGAGATAAAGTCAACAAAATATGTGTAAATATTCACAGATTGGGTTGAGTGATCAGTGGATATCAATGTATAAATTATGTGTATTCGAAACAGTCATAAAAAGTAAACGAAAAAGATGGTTTGTATCACTATGTGAACAACATAAAGTGTAGCCTATGGCTAATAGATATAAATGACATTCAAACGTAAGTGAATAATCGTGATGAACATAGATGACAAAGAATAAATAGTAAAATTGAATAATAATAAATAGATAAAATCAGCTTCGATTAAGATTAAGTAATAATAGATGATAGTAGATGGATAAAATCAGCTTTGGTTAGTGAATATAATACGGCATTACGACTTCATTGGAAATATATAACACAGTATCAGAAAAAACGTCTCAAAAAGATTACAGTGAATAATCTGTGACAGTTTTTTCAAAAAAGCTGAAACAAAAAAAAGATAGCATTCAGTGATCTATATTTATATTAATCTTGAATTGTTTCTTTAAATAAGTGAAGGCGATGCCAGAGGCAACAATGTTCAATGGGCGATATGAAGAGTAGATCTCAAAAAATAGGCAATGTAAGAGCAGGACAGGGGGGGTTTAGAAGACGGATGATTGTTAGTTCCTATCTCCTTAGTCCGACAGCCCCCTTAGTAATGGGTACTCACCGGGTTACGGTGGATATGCGCAAATATCAGGGTCTTGACGATATGGTATCCGGTCCCGTCCTGCCTTCGAGTATGTTCTTCCCGCGTTAGAATCGGGCAGTAGGAGAGATGTTTTCCGGCTGTAGTGCTGGAGCTGTCTTTCAGGCCCAGGGACCGCTTAGCCTAGGCGTATTACTAACGAACTTTCTCTCCGGAATCAACAGGGTTATGAGGGTTTAAAAGCAGAAAGACCTATGATCAGCGAAAGAAAAGTTCTGACTTGTTGCGGAGGGTTGCCAAGGGTTAAGTAAAACTTCAGAAAAATATTCAAGACGCTGCACATGAGTCATCAACCGGGCATCCTTCCTGCATTCATAGCTCTGAATTGTCACTTATTTAAAGAAACAATTCAAGATTAATATAAATATAGATCACTGAATGCTATCTTTTTTTTGTTTCAGCTTTTTTGAAAAAACTGTCACAGATTATTCACTGTAATCTTTTTGAGAAATTTTTTCTGATACTGTGTTATATATTTCCAATGAAGTCGTAATGCCGTATTATATTCACTAACCAAAGCTGATTTTATCCATCTACTATCATCTATTATTACTTAATCTTAATCGAAGCTGATTTTATCTATTTATTATTATTCAATTTTACTATTTATTCTTTGTCATCTAAGTTCATCACGATTATTCACTTACGTTTGAATGTCATTTATATCTATTAGCCATAGGCTACACTTTATGTTGTTCACATAGTGATACAAACCATCTTTTTCGTTTACTTTTTATGACTGTTTCGAATACACATAATTTATACATTGATATCCACTGATCACTCAACCCAATCTGTGAATATTTACACATATTTTGTTGACTTTATCTCTAGCGCTGTGTTCCAAGTACTCTATTTTCAGAAAAGAGCAAGTAAAGATGTAAGCAGCATTTTAAAAATTATGCTATGTAAATAGAAACATGTTACACATATATCCAAATTTGGCTGAAAAAGTAGAAATACGCTTTCAACTGATGTCTATTTACTATTTGTATATCTGCGTTTGCAGAGTTCATCCATGACACAGGATTCACAGTAGCTATTTTCTTTTTGATGGTCTTTGAAACCTTGCCTGCATCATATGTAAACAGCATGCAGAGAGGAGGTTCGGGGGTTATGTGTTATTTTTAGCTTGAGCTGTTGAGCTGATTCAGCAAAACAAATAGCCTGGATAACATGTAAAACGGAGCCTGAAGGCCTTCCTGCTTGCTAGATATAAGAATATGCAATTTGCATGTAATATTTTGTATTTACCTGACTAAAGAATTTTTTTTTTTAGTTCTGAATTATTAAACAAGTAAAATATGAATGAAACCCCTGTACTGTAATAGTCCTTTCAAGGTTTAACCCCTTCACTGCCAAGCCCTCCGGAATGCTTTTAAAATGCTTTTAACCTCAGCTGGACACTCCATTTTTGCAATTTTTCCCATTGTTTTGATTTTCTACTGCTGCGTTGTTAGCGTTTGTAAAAGAACCCCCCCAAACCATATATTTTTTGAAAGCACAGGCCCAGTAGAATAAAAAGACGGTACTATTAATTTTGTAGATCCTGTGATATTTGCGCAAATGTTTATCAAATCAATATTAAACTGATACAAATACACAATTAAATTGATAAAAGCACGCTAAAATCAGTATCAGTGCACAAAAAATGCCTTTTTTCCAACTAAATCTAAAACCAAAAACTGTATTGAGTTAATAAATAACACATATTTGCAAATTTTAAATAGTCCCTTTTTGCAAAATGGTAAAAAAAGAAGTAACACAAAACTGTAAAACAGCGGCTTATGTTAAAAATCGTTTGCCCGCTACGTTGGTGTGTGTGTTGTGATAAAATGATACAAACATACATTTTTTTTCGCAACACAGCATATCACAAGGCTGCCACAGTTAAATTATTGTTTTTTTGAAAAGCAGAAAAAATTAAGCACTGTGATATGTTCTTACAATGCAGCGCATGTGCATGGTGTACACCACGATATGGTGCACACTGTTGCATGTGTATAATATGTGTGTGTGGAGGGGGGTTGTTTTTTACTTTATTATTTATTTATTCATTTTTACTGTTGGGTTGCTTCAGGGAAATATCAGTGGTCTAAACAGACTCAATCTCTTTTTTTCTGCAGCCTCAGCACTGTAGGAATGGAAAGCACTCGTTGCAGAGGCTTCCCATTCATTCCGGAACTGGTGATAGTAAAACATTTACTATCATCCAGTTATGAATGGGTAGAAGCCTCTGTAACGAGTGCTTCTCCCCATTCAGAAACTCATGAATGAACAGGAAGTGGTGTAAAGTACTTCCTGTTCATTCATAACTAGGGACACATAGTATTGTGCCCCCCCAGTTGTTTACAAACATTGGAGTGAGCAGCTGCTCCGCACACAGAGGATCGGTAAATATCACATATATTTACTGATCCTCCGCCCGGTCACGCACAGAGCCGCTGTCATCCTGAAACTGACAGGGTAACAGCATCTCTGCTCTCCTCCCTGTGGCTCCTTATCCTGGATGACAGCTCCCTCCTCCACCCCCCCTTCCCCTGCCAGCTGGAGCACTACATTTCTCCTCGGATCACCGCTGCCTCAGCCCATACAGGTGGGGGAGAGCAGCAGGGATCCGAAGGGAAGCATGGAGAGGACAGGAAAGGCTGCAGATGCCAGCAGCCGGGGTCAGGGGCACCCAGATTTTTTGTTAATAGGTGTCATCAGTGGCTTGTCAGCAGCTGAAGACAGCTATTATTTTACAGGGGACAATCGGGGTGACCCTTCTAATATAAGTTCATGGTCGCTAAAGTGACCGTGAGCTTATAGCAGAATGGAGAAAGCCAGTGACGTAAGGCTTACTGAGGTGGCCTGCTGGAAACAGTTGTTTGTTTCCCGCTGTAAGGGGAAGCGTGCCATGGGCATAAAAGACCCCCGGGGGGAGGCATTAGAAATGTCTTAAAGGACACTCTAAGGTTGATTGTCTAGTTGTATATAATCTTGGGAGGGGGGACAGTTTGTAGTGTGTGTGTGTATTAAAATAGATCTCTGATTATGCATGGTGATTCTATTATAAATTCAAGACGGGGCTGCTGAAAAGGAGCATTTGATGCGGGTATTCCGTCTCGGGGACCAATCTACCATATATTGTTTTTAATGACGCAAGGAAATGGTTAAAAGTGAGATTTGGGGAGGATCACAATGGGAATAAAAAATGGGACATATAGAGTGGACCATAAGAGATGAATACAAAATATGAGTATAAAAATAGACAAAATGTATTAAAAATATTTTGCATATGTAATAAAACGAATACTTAAAACGAATGATTGGACAAATGTTCAAAAGGATGCTTAAAAAGGCTATCATGAGAACGCGTGGGTCATTCTGATATGTGAAAAGGCGTAACACAATTTTTAACTAAGGCTGAGTTTGTGGAGGGGAACATAGGGTATGTGGAAGACTGATTAGTCTGGGTCTTCAGAGCCATGGGTGGGCATCATTTACAAAATGGTCAAAATTTCCAGTTCTTCATTTAGTCCTGTTGGAACAAGGGTATTCAGTTTGTATATCCAGAATGTTTCTTGTCTGCATAGCTTTTGGAAACGTTCGGCTTGTGAGAAATGGTCGGGAATTTGTTCTATGGCGAA